ACCTTCTGTGACTGGCCAGCTGCTTCTTGGCTCTATTTTTAGCCTGTCTCCTGTGACTGTGAAGGTTTCTGGAGCACCTCTCCCAAGGAGGCCGGGCACGTGTTCCCTCTGTCAGAAAGGCCCTCCTCAGCAGGTAACAGCCGAGCTCCCCAAGCCTGCCTCAGTGTCCCCACAGGCTCTGGCCTCAGGTCTTTCTCACCGAAGCTCTCCCTCCTCTGGGCCTCCTGCTCTGTCACTGGCTGGTAAACCCATGATATGCCAGCCAACAGTCACTGATTAAAGGTACATGGATTTCAGCATTAATAGCGACGCTGCTCTTTCTTAGACAAAAATGAGAAAGAACATGCTTGTTCCCAAAGTTCTGGCAGAACACCACTCACAGCTACACTTCCACTGAATCATCTTCTAAAACCATTTCCACCACCTCTGTTACCGTCCCTGCTCCACATGAGGCACGGAGGCTCAGAGCAGAGCTAAGGCCAGATGCCAACCGGCCACGACTCCAAACACTACGCCTGCTCACCACTTTTATTTTCATGTATTTATTTATTTATGTATGTATTTATTTATTTTTGAGACAGAGTCTGACTCTCACCCCAGGTAGAGTACAGTGGTGTCATCATAGCTCGACAGCAACCTCAAACTCCTGGGCTCAAGTGATCCTCCTGCAAGTAGCTGGGACTACAGGTGTGCACCAACTATGCCCAGCTAATTTTTTCTATTTTTTACTGAGACTGGGTTTCACTCTTGCTCAGGCTGGTCTCGAACTCCTAACCTCAAGCAATCCTCCCACCTCGCCCTCCCAGAGTGCTAGGATTACAGGCGTGAGCCACCGTGCCTGGCCTCGCTCGCTACTTCTAAAGGCCAGTGTAACCTGAGGAAGGAATCTGCTCTCAGTTCTTCCTCTTCTTCTCCTTTGGGTCCTCCTTTCTCCTCCAAAAAGTGCCCACAGTATGCCCACTGCCTGAAAAAGAGGCTGAAATCAAGCTAGGCCACATCCTCGGTAGGACCAAGGACCATCTTCCCTTCCCCAGGAAGGGAAAATTCACTTTATAGATTACTTAGTACTTCTGGGTCTCCATCACCTACCGCTACCCATTGACCCAAGGGTGTCCCCTAAAATGGATTCCCCTTTTCTAGTGCCCTGAGACCCACGGGGGCTACCAGCAGGAAGTGGAGGGAAGACAGTTAAAGATACTCAGAGCCCGAGAGAAGGGGTCTGCAGTGATTCTCCCCACACTCACTAGGCTATGGTTCTGCTTATGCGCTAGATATAGGTGCAGGCTGATGTCCCAAAAGAAACTCAATACAATTCAACAAAGAGAAAAGCTGCTTGGACCCTAGGGACCCCAGGAGGCCTCATCACCCCAACGCTGCTGGATGCCACCAAATGACCCCACTCACAGGAATGCCAGAGCCACAGTGTCTTTCAGGAGCATTTCCTTAGAATCTAAAACATCCTCGGACACGGCATTCCCTGGACACCGTGAACCTCTGATGGGGGAAGATGGGTGTGCTGCCCCAGCTCCGGCATGCCAGGCTACGACTGGGCCCACCGTTTCCCCTGCAAACCAGCCCCTTATGCCAAATATCTCTAGATCAGTTCCTGCCAACTCAGTCCCTGTCTCCCTGCCATGAACCGGACATAGAGGCTCGCCACCCTTCCTTCTTGTGTCTCCTGTCTGCCTTCTCTGCTTTTCTCTCGTCTTGACCGCAGTTCCGGCCCTAGAACCTCATCCCCGGAATTTTGCCAAAGCATTTGGAAGACACAGGCCGTCTTCCCATCGCTCCACTTTGCACACCTGCCCAGGCGAGTTCTCATGAAGCGTTTTCATCACCTTTAATGGCTTCTTAGTTCAGGTCCCCGCCCCCCCCCAAAAAAAACAATGGCCAGACGAGGACCTAGGTTCAGCATTTCATTCCAGGGAGTTCCAGCGAGAGAATGGGGAAAGTGAGGCAGGAACTGGCCAGGAAGGGACATTAATCAGTGGGCCACCACTGTGGGCAATAGGGGCTCAACCCTGTGAGGGAACGTCAGAACTGCCCTGCCAAGGAATGGGGAGGCTGGGCTACCCCACCAACTACTCCCCTCCTGGGGTGAGGGCTGCCCCTGGGGGCACAATTCAGCACTTCCAGGTGTCCCTGCACTTCCAAGTATCCCTGCCCTAGGCTGAGAAAGCTGCCATGGTCTGATAGGATTTCTTCAGGCAGAGGGAAAGACACAGTGAGAAGCTGTCCACCAAGGCTGCAGGCTGGCTCAAGCTGGGCCCTGGCCTTCAAGGACAGGCCACCAACGGTGTCCACCACAGCTTCTCCCTGCCTTTGGAAGGAAGTCCTCAGGCCCTGACCCTAGCCATCAAGGTGGGGTTGCCAGGTCAGACACAGGATACCCAGTTAAACTGGGATTTCACATAAATGATGATCATTTTTAGTATAAGTATATCCCAAATATTGCATGGGACACGCTTGTGCTAAAAACTATTTGTTGTTTATCTGGAATTCAAACTTAACTGAGCATCCTGTATTTTTATTACCACATCTGGCAACCCTGCTTCAGGGGCCTGCTCAATCCAGTCCTCAAACCCCTTTCTCCCCGAGAAGCAGCTCTTCACCGTACCTGGGAGCAGCCGTCCAAACCCCTGACTGTGGGGCCACGGGGTGCTCCCGCACGTCTCTCCTGCCTACCGTGTCTGGGTCCAAAGTCTCTCTGAACACATCACGCCCTTCCCTCACCTCTAAAAGCAGGTGCTGCCTGCACCGGTCATCCTATGACCTGGATCACTTGCTGGCATTTGTCTGAAAGCCTTATTTTCCCAGCTCGGTTGTAACTCTCACCTAGCCTGGCACAATGATCGACGGGTAATTACTATTTGGCAGATAAGGGGACCCCTTGGTCCCACCAGCAACAGCAAACCCTGTGAGGACTTAGACTGAGTCCCTCTCCTCCACCCACCCCCACACCCGATCTCACCACAACCAGCGCGCTGGGCACACAGGCACACTCGGGCAGCAGCTGTGGAACAATCGAATGAATGCTACTTGGTAAGGGCTGGATCACGCCAAGAATGTTGTAAAAAGCTGCCAAAGTCACCACTAGCAGCAAGAAGGGTGGTCCGAGTATCCCAACTATTCAACCATTACGCGGTTTTCCAGTGTTCACAGCCTGGACTCTCCATCCTTTTTCCGGTTTGGGATTTTGTCTGACACCGCCAATGGCACCGCCCAGCGGGCACGCCCACACATGCAGCGCTCGGGGCTGACCTCGCCATTTGGCCTCTACACAAAATGGCCTGTCCACGGGACAATGCCCTGTTATTTTTATTCTTCTCCCCTTCTTTCTCTGTGTCTCTCTTTTTTAAATTAGGTGCTCTGGTGTGTGTGTCGTAGCCTTACAGCTATACAACATTTTAAATTTGTAAAGACCTTCCCATGAATTATTTTAAACATCCCTGTAAAGCAGGTAAAATGGGTATTATTTTCTACACCTGACAAATGGGACAACTGAGTGGTTAAATGGCTCACTCAGGTGGCCACTGTCAAAAAGAGGTGTGCAGTAGCAATGTCTAACTTTTAACTTACAAATATGGTTTTAAAATGTCTTCCACGAGAGATATAAACAGGCATATTTCGTTTCAAATAGAATGCTATTCCTGCATATTTGGCCACCACGATGGTGGCCACACAACAGCCAGGGGTCCAATTACCTGCCCCTGAGCTCCCCAGGCCAGGGAGGGCTGGCCCAGGTGCCACTTCAGGCTGCTCCCCAGCAGGTGTCTGGGGCTCACCCCCTGGACTCTACCTTGTCATCCAAATGTCACATGCATGTGGACCTGGGGGGAAACCTGAAAGGAAAAGCTGCACTAGCAAACACAGGAGGAAAGTGCTTCTGCGGGACTCGCAGTGGCAAGTTGGTGGCCAGGCCCCGCCATCCCAGCTGTCGGGCAGGATTAGCTTTAATGAGGTGTCCAGGCAGCCCTCGGAGGAGAGTGGGCTCACTGCGCACTCCCATCCTGCCCCAGACACGCCATCCGGGACAGACAACAAAATAACATTCTCCACGAAGCCGCGCGCGCGTGCGTGTGTGTGTGTGTGTGTGTGTGCGCGCGCGCGTGTGTGTGCATGTGCGTGTTTGGACAAACATTTACTTGGTGGGTTGAGGCGGAGGGTGTGACCCAGCTGGGGGCTCCGTTCCGGTAAAGGTCTACCACCCGACCCCCCTATGAAGAGGTGAGGACGAGCGGAGGACAAGCGACTGGGGGCCACCTGGGCGGGCCAACCGAAGGGAGGGCGCACGACCCGGCCCGCCGTTCTCTCTGGACAAAGTCAAGCTGCAGACCCATCGAAGTTGCCAAAGTTCAGGGCATGCTGCCTCGTGGTCGGGGCTGAAGTCCGCGCAGCCCCGCACAGGTTAGGAAGCCCCAAGCCCCCAAATACTACGGGCGCCCGAAATACGCCCCCGGGGGCGGGAGAAAGGAACGGCTGCAAAGGAGCCCCGGTCCCGGGCCCAGAAACACCCCGAGGGAAACTGGGATGGGGAGGTCCGCTTAAGGGAGCAGCTACACAACCCCCAACCCTGCTGCTGTCCCCACCTACCGCCCCTCCCCTCCGTCCCCCGCGGCCGCGCTGGGGCTCCACCTCCCCGGAGCGCAGTCCACAGCGTCCTTTTTCAGCAAAACAACACAGCGCGCCGCCCCCAGCACCCGCACCCGGCGGGATCCCGGGCCACGCCCAGCCGCCCACCGGCCGCGCCCGGCCCGGAGTGCGTCCCGCGCCCCCTCGCGTCCGCAGCCTCCCGGCCCCCGATCCCCGCTGCACGCGGCTGGGGAGCGAAATCGAGTCCCGGCTCGGCGGCCCGGCTCCGGCCTGCCCCTCCACCCGCCCGAGCCGCCAAAGTGACAGGAGGGGCACGCACGGCGCGCGGGGCGGCCGCGTTAACCGCTTCGGCTCCGGGCCCGAGCGGTGGGAGGGCCGGTGCCGGGGACGGCGGGGCTGGGACTCACCGGAATGTGCACTCGCAGCGAACGCCTTTTCTGGCTGGGATTTTTCTTGCCGCCGTTCCCGCCGGGGCTGGAAACATCTTTCTTCTTCTTGGTGTCCATGGCCGCGCTTCCCATAACTCTAAGCAGAAGTTAATTCCGGGTGACTCGTCCCTGGAATTCGGTCCTCGCCTTCCGTCCCCAGCCTCTGCTGCTGTCGGACTGGAGCCGCGCGCTCTGTGTTACTGTCCTTCTCCCTGAAGACACTCGTGGGCACTTCCGCGGGCGGGAGGGTGGAGCAGGTAGCTCTAGTCCGCGCACCCCTACGGAGTCATCCGATGCGGACTCCGCCAGCGCCGCTCCCGGTCTGCGCTCGCCCGGTTACGCGTGGCCGAGGTCTCCTGCTGGGTGACAAAGTTTTCTTCCTTTTGCAAAAGGAAGCAACATTTCCACGCTCTCGGCTCCTCCCACAGATTCCCAGAGGTAATCTGCAAGGCAGGTGCAATTAAAACCCGTAATTCGGAGAACCTCCCTCCGATGCCTGTGGCCGAGTGGAGCCTCGGCTACAGCGGGACCGTTCGTACATAAATATAATCCTCGGCCGCAGAATAAACCAGCCCGGAGCCGGGAACGAGGTCCGTCCTCCTTTCTGGGCGAGGAGGCGGGGGGAAGAGGAGGCGCAAGGCGAGCACTCCTCGCAATTGGGCTGTCGCCCGCCGCGAGCACACGCTCTGGCGGCGGCTGGCGGCCCTGCAGGGAGCGGGTGCCGGGAACCCCGCGGGCCGAGCCGGGCAGGGCGCCCTCTCCTCGCCCCCCGCCGTGCTGCGGCCCGGTGGGACAGCGAGAGCCCGGGAGGGGCCGGGCCTGGCACAGACGCAGGCTCGCGGGGCGCCGCGCGCTGGCAGGGGGCGCGCCTGGAACAGGAAGTGCGCGGCGTGCGGCGCCACGGGCCCGCTCCCCGGCACCGACGCCGCCCGGTCGCCGCGCACAGTCTGCTGCGGCCGTGCCGGGCCTGCGCTCGCTCGGATCCGCTTTCTGATCCACGTCGTGGCCCACTGTCCGTTCATGCCCGACCCCCTAAACACGCACACGCACCCCGCCCGCCGCAGACCCGGCGGCGGTGGAAATGCCGGTTTCGGTGGGCTGCGCGGTTGCCAGCACGTGTTTCGCAGAAAACCGTGGCCCCAGGGGTCCCGCTCCGCCCAGAGTGCGGTATGTGGCGCTGGGTGAGTGTGGGTTTTTCACCCGCCCCCCGCCCTCAAATCTGGCTTTCTTCAGGTTCATCAAGAGTTGCGCAGTGGATCCGCGGTGAGTGCGTGTCCCCACGCTGCGGAGCACGCGGCGTTGCTGAGACTGCGGAGAGACGTGGGGGAAGGAGAGGGCCCGAAAACCCGAGCGAGGGCGCCACGTGCTGCCCAGGTACTTTTGAGCCGCCAGTACTGGATCTGGCACCGCCCGGTGGCCCCGGCCCTTAGGAGGTTACGGGGAGCAGCGGGGCGGGGTGGCCCCATCCCCGATGCATCCGGTGATGGCCTCACCTTGGCACCTGGGTTGGAAGTAGGGTGAGTGCTGGGTCCCGGGTTGCTTCCTCTCCTGCTCTAGTTTCTGAGGATGTGGTGACCCCAAAGGCCACCTAAGCTACCGGAATGCTGAGTCAGCTCAGCTGCTGCTGTGAACAGTAACGTAGGGAGGGCACCACACAAAAAACACGACTGGGTCGCTTTGGAGACACTGCGGGGTAGGGGGACCAATGGGGAGGTGGCTTTAACCGCTCTTCAGGTGTGTGCTCTGGCCCTGTTCTCTTTTCAGGAGGCGTGGTTGGCCCGCTGTAGGGAACATCCTGTAGGGAAAGCGCATGCCCCCCCACCCGCCGTCCCCTAGAAGAGAGAAGCAATCCTGTTGCAGCCATCTTTCCCTGTTCCTCCTACAGCCCACGTTCCAGCAGCTGTGCAAAATCCCTTCAATCTGGGTGGTTCCTTGGTTCACAGGCTGGGTTAATATTCCCCCTCCTTCTCCCCTGCTCTATAATCCAGAACCAAGCCAGACAGGATGGTGTCTCAGTCCCAGAGGGGTCCCTGACAGGGGCAGATTCTCTGGGGGACCCTGTCTGGGATCAGTAGCCAAGTAGCCATCCTGGCCCCACAGGTGTGGGATTTCTTGGTCTTTCCTGGCTGGCTCCTAGTTAGAGGATTTACTCCACAAAATGTTCAAAACGCTGCTGAGAAAGAGAGAAGGGTAGGCCTTTAGCCTATGTCATGTGGTTTAAAGGACGACGGGAAGCCACTCTCACCCACTAAAAATCACTCCCCATTGTTATGTGTCATTTCTTTAGCTTACAACTTTAATCCTTGTCAAAATGATGATTTACAGGGTGCATATATCACTCCATTTGATGAGAACTGGCTCTAAAGAGATGAGGTCAAAGGGGAGCAAGATGGTGGGTGGGGTGGGAGCTCACAGCAGAGCCACCGGGCGGGGCCCTGTGGGGGGAGGTCAAGAGGCGGCCACAGTGTTACTTCTCATACTGAATGTTTGCTCTGTGGGGCAGTTTTTAACAATTGTTATAATGTGTGCTTTTATCAATTGATTTGCATAAATATGTAAAATCATTCATCAATAAATTTGTTCTCTGAGTTCATTTGTTGGAGTGCAGACTTTAGTGCCTTCCAAATTAAACATTTTACTGTATTGCCTGCATTTTAAGAAACTTTTACATTTTTTGGCCCTTGCGATCAGCTCCTGCCCCATACCCAGGAGGAAGGAACACTGCACAGAGAGGCCAAGAAGAGTTTGGACACACAGGCCTGGTGGTGGGTGTCCCCACTCAGCCTATTAGTGTTAGAGTACACTCTTTTCATCCTGTTCCCTTTCTACTCGGTGGTCAATTATGCCTGTCCAGTGAAGTCTCTACAGAAAGCCCAAGAGGACAGAGCTTCCAAACACGTGGAGGTTCCTAGGGGTGGCGCCTCCCTTCTCCCTGTACATCTCTTAACCGGTTAACGTAACTTTTCCTGAGTTCTGTGAACTGCTTTAGCAAATTAATGGAACCCAAAGAGGGGATGCAGGAACCCTATTTTATAGCCAGTTGGTCAGAAGGCCCCAGAGGCCCCGACTTGTGACCGGCATCTGCAGTGGAGGGGACATCCTTGGGGACTGAGCCCTCACCCTGTGGGATCTGACACTATCTCCAGGTAGATTGTCATAATTGAATTGGAGGACACCCCACTGGTGTCTGCTGCAGAACTGATTGCTTGCGTGATATCGGGGAGAAACCCAACCCCTTTGGTCACAGAAGCGTTCTGTGCTGATGATTGTTGTGGTGTGCGAGCAGAGGAAAAACAATCAGAGCCCTGTATGTTAATATTTCTGAAATCTGGGTGATTCTTATAGATGATGTCAGAAGAAACTTACTAGCCATTTTTTCCTCTAAAATGGTATTAATAAAGTGATCATGTATCTTCTGATCAGCGAGGAGTCTTAGAATGGAGGAAACATAGTAATCTTGCTTTGGGGCACTTTCTGAAAACCCCATCTTCCCCTCCACCTTGGCGAGCACCTCGGTATTTTAGCCAATAGCTAAATGTGGTGTGCCCACGCAATGTTGCCCATACGATGACCCCTGACATCCATTGTTTTTGAATGCCTACCTATGACCTCCTTCTCAAAATGAGTGCAATAAGATCTGTGCCAAACAAAATATCAAAAAGTTAAAATAGTACGGCACTGTTACTGATCCCGTCTTTATGTAAAATTCTCATTTTTAGAAAAATATTGCATTAAAATATTATTTCCCTTGATGTCTGAGTTTTCGCACCCCCTTAAATTTTGCATCCGAGGCCAGCACCACATTCCCCCTCACCTGCTGATGGCAGGATGAGAAAGAACCCGAGCAGGATGGCAGGCCGGGGTGGGGACCTCAAATACCCCGGGAGGAATACTTGAGCCCGCCCTGACACTGCCACTCACTAGCTGTGTGACCAGGGACAAGTTACTCAGTTTCCCCATCTGTAGGAGAAACAGTATGGTCTTCAGAATATTTCTAAGCCCTCTTTAATGGGGGCTTGTATTTTACCCTGATTGTATTTTGTATGTCTTTATAATTTTATTGCTCTGGTTATTTTCTGTTGAATTTTACAAAAGTGTCATTCCACAATGAATTGGAATTTGAAAACAACCCAACCAAAAAACCACCCCAGGTCCTTCACTACAGATGGTTTGGGATAGAGCTTCTCAGGGGAACAGGGAATATCGAAGATGCTTCCCATTGCACATAACCTAATTTTCCAAACTTGTCCTCCTACCCCACCCTCGCTTTTTTTTTCATTTTGTCTGTTATCCCGTATAAATGAAAATGACTTCAGAAACCATGAATCATCTTTGTAGAGTCTTGACAACTTAGAAAGTCTTGGAATTGGGGGTGTCCTTATGGGTTTGAAGTCCACAATTACTCTGGGCTCTCAGAATGCTGTAGTTAGAGGGAACCTTGGTAATCAGTATGGGATATCTGTGTCTGATGAGTTCACATACTCGGTGACACTGTATTCTCCATGAAAAAGAAGAAAGGAATTAATTTTTTGATCACCAGTGACATGCCAGGCACCATGTTAGTGACTTCGCATTAATTATCTCACCTAATTTCTATGAAAATCCCCTATAAGAACTATCACATCCATTTCACGTTTGGGGAAAATGGAAACCTAGTTGCTAGAGAGTGCTTTGACATCCCCTCCACTCTGTCCATTGGTCTTAACTGGCTGTGGCCTCTGGAAAAACAAAAACTGTGGCCCCTCCTCTTTTAAAAGCTTTGCTCAAGACTGACAACACTCTGACCTTGGACACACTACAGGACTTCTTAGCTGCCTTGGTCTCTTTGCCTGTGACCCAGAGTTGGCGAGAGCAATGGCCTATATATTCAGGAAACCAGTGACTCAATTCCGTGGAAAAAGCGATTCTTGAAAAACTAAACAACAAGGTCTGGACTCAGACTTTCTGCAAATGCTTTGATAACTCATTGACTACCGAGAAGAGGGGGTGTTATCTAATCATGAAAACCAGGGCAAAGAGTCACATTCCAGCTTTTATTTCCTTTAAGCTTGGACAGTGATCGTGTAATCTGTGATAGTTTCTGCTCCCTGGTTCAGATGGCGCCATTAATACTGATTTGCGCAGAGAGGTGGAGGCAGGGGCCCAGGACCAGTAGGAACAGCACATGTGGGGACAGCACATCTCCTAACTGCCTCTTTCCAGGTCTGTTTTGATTTTCCAGGGCACCTGTGCCAGCCACCTCCCTTCTCTGTGTCTCAGGCTGCCCTTCATCCATAATGCCGGGTGGCCATAAGGCATTCCTGATCGCA